CAGAGAATCCTTCGACGGTGCGGCGCTCGGGCGGTCACATGAAACGAAACGGGAGACAGTCATTGACAGTCTGAGGAAAATGCTCAGCAGCAAAAGCTAAGTAGGAGAACGGTGAAGGCAGAGAGAGGAGGTGGAATCGATTTTCTTCTGGTGGGCTCGTTCCAAAAAAGAAGGAACGTCAGAGCGAACAACGAGCATGAGTCGACCACGTTTCTCTCGCGCAACTCGGAGAGACAATCTAGAGAGCGCTCTCTGGTCGAGCTGTGCTGGCTTTATTCTTCCGTTCGGCGAGAGAAGCGCCCCGACATACTCGCTCGGGAATACCCCTAATACAGCTATCTTGAAAGTGTTTCTTTCAATAATATTCCCCCTCCAGTGGAAAACCAACTCGAAGCCTCTCGTGGATTTCGATATTTATTCAAAGTAAAATTGGAATTCGATGGGGGAAAGGAACCGTTGTGAGAGTGGGAATATTCGTCGTGCGGAAAAACAGGCTGCAAATGTATGCATATCAGACGATGCTCTCGATGCAGGCTCCGCAAAGGGATGGATCGGCTCGTTGTTGACTTGACGGAGAGAAGAGCTCGTACGTCGTTTCTTTTCTCGCTGGGAATCCCTCGAAGACCGAGCCTTCAGTTATTTCAGCGTCCGGGCGCGAAGCTACAGATGGTACGACTGATTTATGAACAAAGGTTTCGGCGAGCGCCAATCAACTTCCGGTGATGACTGAATTATAGGGAGGTGAACAATCGCCGACAAATCACCGAGGCTGAGCATACGGTCGACAACATATCATTTCGGTTGCATCGGGCAAGCGGAAGGCGAACGAACGCGCAATCGCCGAAGCTGGCAGGCGGACCGCTCGGCGGCCAGACAGCCGACCAGTGACATGGCTAAGCAGACCTCTCGATCGGCTGGCTATGGATAACTAACTAAACGACCGGCCACGGGAAAACGGTCCGTGAACACCGATAATCGCCGAAAGCAGGGAAACGAAGAAAAACACGGAGCCCGACACAGAGCTTGAGAATCCAACCGCCTGCTGCTGGGCATAAGGAGCCTCGAGTGAGCTCCGTCGGATCGATATTGATCCGAGGCCTGGTGGCGTTGGAATAAGAGGTCAACGCTACGTCGACGATGACGACGCCGCCGACAACGACGATGGTGATCAGTGATCACGACGGCGGACGGATCCCTGGCTGGCTCGCTCGAGGCGCAAATCAATGCGCAACGTCTCTTGATCCCGTGCCGACCTCCGATACTATTCCTTAACGGAGAAGCTCATCCGGGATGTTTCGATTCCTCAATTAATTAGGGTCGTACCAGATCGGGGATATAGGGTGCTTATTCGTGTATGCTATCGACGATAGGGTGATGGATCATCGCCTCGAGGAGGGGAGTCCATCAATATTCCAGCCGATCGATACCTGATGTTAATCGATAAACTCATTTGTATTGAACTCTGGAAGGTCCAAGCCTCGTCGACTCCTTAGAATATCCCGGAGGCGTGCTTGTACTGAGCGCCCCGGGCCGGTCGAGACAAACCGGAATAATGTTGAAAGCTTTCGGAATATCGAGTAGGAAACATTCCTCGTAATTTCGCAGCGTTCTCGGAGAGATACGAGTCGATTCTTCTAGTGCTCTCCTGTGAAGCTCCTTCTCTCTCTCCCGATGAAGCTCAGCCATGAGCGAGAGCAAGCTCGCTGAGAGGAAACGTAAAATCATTTCTGGATGAAGTTGTCGCGGGTCCGATTCGCACCTTTTTTCGGAGCGCCTTCATCGTTTTGAACATACCATAGCTCCCTTTTCCTCCCGTCCTGCGGAAAGTCATCCGACGATCGAGAGGGGCCCCGCTAGTCTTGTCTTGATGGTCACGTTCAGCGAAAAGCAGCCCGAGAGCGAGCTCCTGAGCTCTTGGTTAAGGTGGGAGGTGGAGTTGCACTTTTGGTACAGGTGTCGCGTTCTGAGCCCCCTGCCCACCCGGTCCAGTGCCAGCCTATCCACAGACCGACTGCCTCGAAGCGAGACGTATCGCCCCATTTACATGAGGAAGAAAATGGCTCTGCCGCCCGTAAAACACGCTTCCATCAGAATCGAGCAAAGGTGCTGGATAAGCTCAACACCTGGCACCCATTGAGACAGAAGTCGCGAGAAAGGTTCCTACCGGCAGCGTCATCAATTCCCCGTGCACGAGATTCCGTCTCGAGAGTCGGTTTGAGCCTGTGGAAGACCACGAATCGCCACGAACCCGCTCTTGATTCTGTCGCGGGATAAGGAATAGGCTGTGTGGGATCCGAACTCAGGACTATGGGATCCTGCTCCATTCACGGGACGGATGACTCCAGATTCGCCCCCGGAACGCTCGATACGTCCGGGTAATTTTCATTTGCGGGTTCAGTATTTCGGTCGTCGCGTATTCGCAATGCACCTCGAAGCAGGTCTTCGAATTACTTCTATGGCAAAGAGGAGCTCATCTGGACCCATGTTAACTTACCTGCTCGTCAGATCGATTAACCCGTAGCTGAACACTAGTTGTGTAAAATCCGAGGCCTCATCCCGGGGCCAAGTTGCTTGAGGTAGTCCAACGAGGCTGCATCCAAAGATTAAATGGATAGAAGGAAAGAGGATGTTGTACTGCCGAACAACTCTCAAACTCCGGTCACGAGGACACATAACGTCTTCTGTATACAGTTAATCCTTTGGGAAAGCTCTCCTTCGTAAACCCAGATAACTTGCGCAGACGAAGTCATGTCGGACCTGTTGCAGCCGCTGTAACTGAGCGGATCATCCGCATTTATCCATGACCAATGCAGAGGAATTTCCACCTTACGTGGATGCCATTTCTGCGACCGAGCATATCCCTCATCTGGCGTAGCTAAAGAGAGATTCAACCGATGATCTAGCTGCTCCGACTCGAGAGATGCGAGAAATTTTTCGGGGGCATCGCAATGGAGGACGAGAGAGGAGGATTTCGGGCACGATAAGCGACCCAGCTCTGCTTGCGAGGGACCGGAGCTCCACTCGAGTTCTCTGATGTCGGCTTCGCTACCGATCTTCTTCCGGCTCCGCGCCGTGAATATCGGTGGGGAACTCCTTCCTGGAGGACTGGAGGTGGGGAACGCCTTCCTGGAGGACTGGGCGGGGAATCGAGCGAGCAAACTGTCTAGTATGCGCTCGCTGTTTGAGAAGGGTACGGAAGCGCGGAACTCCGGACAATAGCGCGATGCTCCCAGCTCTATGGAACAACAAAGGTCGTACAGTGACGCGTTATACCGCTCAGCTGTTGGTGGCCGTCGGATCAATTCGTTGCCGGGTTCGCCCGGCTCCGCAACGTAAAGCCTCCGAAATCCCCTGTCCTCGAAGATGAATATTGCCGAGTAACATCCTTTGCTTCCACATTATATTGAAGAAGCGGATCGAGCTTTTCGAGAGCTGACGATGCGTTGACGTAGTCAATTTTGCGAGAGTGAAACACTCATATCGATCGAGGATCGAAATGAGCATTGGAGTCCCGGAACGGGAACCTCGGGTATCCCAGCTGCGCGAGAAGAAAGCGACGGAAGAGGATTCTCACGGGAATAGAATTGTAACCGCTCTTTTAAGCACAGTTACGAGTTACGGGGTTAAGGAGACCGACGGCGGGGAAAAGGACGTCGACGAAGACGACGACCACGATGATGATGATGACGAAAGAGGGTAATTGAGCAGCGAGGAAAGATGAGCATCAATGGGATTTGGAAGGGATCTGTGAGGAAGGGAGGGAGAGAGAGAGGGTGGATTTCATGACAGGCTCTCAGCGGCTAACCAGAGCCACAGAGCAACCGACACTATGACAGTGATCCAGACTCCAGACATTATGAGGAGACCTCGATGCTGTCGCAAGAAGAGGACTGAGACAGAACACAGAACTGAGCCGGAGCTGAATCAATTCGCTCTGAGGAGCCAGGAGGAGGTCCTCAACATATTCGGGGAATCACTGACAGAATCAACCGGTCCACCGAGGGAACACCAACCCCAATCTACAAGATTTGGGACGGCCGGACCCCTGCGCAATTTGGGAAGCGGGCACGCGGGCGGGCTCCCGAAGAACAAGCGGGAGGCGGACAAGCCACGTCGTTATTGACTGACGAAGCGTTATCGTAGTGCTACGTGGCCTATCTCACTGTGTCGTGGAGGAGGAAGAGAAAGTGAAAAAAACGAGCAGTTGGAACTTGGAGGGTCGCTAGCGGGCCAGTAGGCGGGCGCGCGGGCGTGCGGATAAGAAATATCCTTCTCGTTTGTCCCTCGGGAGAGTAATTTCATGTCGCATACCCCAAAGCCGAGGGATCTGTGTTCGCCTACATCATCTGAGTCTTGGTGGAAGTAGTGCGCTTGTTATTATCACCGCTCGAGCCGCGGCTCTCAGTTGTTCGAGGGCTCACGCTTGCCCGGAAAGATCCAGGGAAATTTACATCTCGATGAGCGGCGGATCGAGTCCGACTACTCCACGGAGGGTTCAACTCGAGACTCGATCGATTCTGCGTCGTGTCCGTGAATGAGAAATCTGGCTCTTTCTGAAAAAAATCCCGGGAGAACTCAGACCTCCAGAGCTGGAGGATCTCGACTGACAGACAGCAGACCCTGGGCTGGACTCTGGGATCGCGAACACTCGATGAAATTCGAGACTCAATCTCGCAGTAGACGCGGTCCGACGATATGAAGCCATCGCTTTCTTCGAAGCTGAGACAGCTTCAATGGCCTGGTGCAGGACTTCAGGCGGGCCGAGTACAAGAACGGGGAGGGGACAATCTTCGATCGGAAGATCGCGACCAGAATATCGTCTCGAATTTCTAAGAAGCTCGTTATAGACCAGCCCCTGAGATGTGCTTGGCTTCACTGAGTGATTTCAGACATTGATAGCTCCGGTCGCTTCGACTGCGGTTACGAATTAATGTTCAACACTAGCTTCATATCTCCCACCCGTGATTCAAAATTGAGCAGAAGTATTTTTCTCTTTCCAGATCTTGTTAATTCGACCGTTCGATTCGATGAGAAAGGCGACGGTCAAGCCCCCTACATTATCTACAATTATCGACGAAGTAACGTCACCGGTGAATTTCATTATGAACGTGTTGGAAAATGGCTAGCGGTAGACGAAGGTCTTCATCTCAATGCTGAAGAGATCCGTTTCGGGAGCAAGGAAACTCATGATAGGTGAGAACTATAAGCGGCGCAGTCCTTAGGAATCACATCCAAAGAGTTTTCTCTCAAAGTCGATGAGCATTTCCGATCCTACCGTCCTTTATACCGTTGGAGAGAAATTAAGGAACACAACGATACCGATTGCAGGTTAATACCGGTCTCAGTTTGTTCGGCGGAATGTGGCGTGGGCGAAGTGAAAAAAGTCCAAGCTGGCGATCATTGCTGCTGGATATGCACACGCTGCGAGCCCCACGAATATGTCCTCAACGAAAGTACGTGTGCCGATTGTGGTGAATCCCGATGGCCGCATACGGACAAGAAGTCCTGTTTCGATCTCGAACTGCAGTACATGCAGTGGTCTAGCCTGTTCGCAATTGTGCCCATCGGGATCGCCCTCGTAGGCATCCTCCTGACTTGTGGAACGATCGCCGTTTTCATCCGCAACAACGAGACTCCAATCGTCAAAGCTTCCGGACGCGAGCTCAGCTACATGTTGCTGTCCGGACTTCTAATATGCTTTTTGATGACGTTCGTACTGCTCCTGAAACCGACTCCTATCAGCTGTGCCGCCCAAAGGTATGATATGATGTCTGGTCGCTCTCGAATTACCCAATCAATTGAGCTAATTCCCTCCAGAGCTCGATTGAGGATAAAAATCCATCGACAAGCCCGATCCCCGTATATGCACCCACCGGGAGAGCATACCTGTGGAGCTTCCTTGTAGCCCAGAAGATGAATCGATGTATCCTCGGTCCTGAAAGTGTCTCCCATGAATTCTCGGAATCTTCAACCTCTACGCTACCTCATTGTCCGAGGGGAATTCCGAGGCTCCGCGATCATCATAGAATATGGTCATATCGACTCCTGCTATGCACACGGGCCGCGAGCACTGTCGATTCGTCGTGGGTGGGCGGCCTGGATCAACAGTAGCGCAAGCCGATTTGGTCCGCTACATCTAATATCTACTCGGAAATAGCCCATCGCTCGCGCAATAGCCATCCACCAAATTTCATTGGCGGTACAGACCCGCCGTGGCGAGCTACAGGTCTGCGAGAATCGTTTGTGATACTATGCAACGTTTGCGAAACTTGCGGTCGAACCCGCTGCCCAGTCACAGTGGGGCCCGACCCCCCTTACTCATTTCTCCCCTGGTCTCGCAAAAGCGGGGAGACTGGCTCGCCTTCCACGGGCCGATATTAGTTGGCAGCTGTTGCCCTGTGCACCTGCACGCGTATAGTCATTCTCGCTGCAGCTCGTTAACGACCCTTCATACGGACAGTAAAGTCGTTTAGCTTCTACGCTGCCTACAAGCACGGGGGCTGAATGGCCGCTTGCTCGTTCCCTTATTTTTCTTCATGTCGTTCACAACAAGCAAGATCACTTCCAGTTCGCCGGACAAGTGCACGCGCGATTGCCTTCTGATAAGATAACAACCGACCTCTGCCAGTTGGTCGGAAGACGATCCCAGCGGCCGGTACCTACACGGCTCACTCGCGACAAAACTTCTGTCTCGTTTCCGACAAGCTGACTCTCTTTGATGCCTCTGGTGACGATGAGGGGCGGTGACCCGACGGAGACTGTGACGTGAGGCTAATGAGGATCTTTTGTATGCTTGTCTTCCAGATTTGGGGTCGGCCTAGGGTTTTCAATCATTTACGGATCTTTGCTGACTAAAACCAACCGAATCAGCCGGATCTTCGACTCTGCCAGACGTTCCGCTCGCAGGCCTTCGTTCATCTCACCAAAGAGCCAGATGATTATCACCTGTTTGCTGATATCCGTGCAGGTAAGATCCGAAGATCCACAGATCAAACCTGTAGGGAGGGAATCCGACTCGTGAGTCTATCTCGAAGCCTATTCGTGCAGTCAGCGCTCAGATGAGGATATTCTGCCCCGGAAGTCCGGGGTCTTGCTGAAAAGGGAAGCCCGCGAGCTGCGAAAGATTGGCATGCATCTTTTTTTGGAAATTTCGCGGATACTCTCCTGTACTCTCGCTCACGAGGCCCGACTTGTAGAAAGGAGACGTCATTGTTCCTTTCTGAGCTTTTCCAAGAAGAGTATTTGATCAACAAGTACTTGAAATACGAAGGAGACCGCGCGGAGCTCCCCGACTGAAGGTGAATCCTCCCTCGACATCCGGGGAGCTGCTCCCCTGGGCCTTATCGCTCCGCGTATCTCCCGTCGATCGGAGTAGAATCGCCGCATTTCTCAGCAGCCCCACGTCGATACCTCTATGCGCTCCTGTTTCCATTCAAGCTTCGGGAAGTGTCGATATAGGAGGTAGGAGGTCCGATGCGACGGTTTGCGGGCTATTGCGAGAGCGACTAATCCGATGGAAACGGATCTCGTGGGTTGATGACTGAAATTTGCATTTTGCATTGGTGGGCCCGCTGTGGATTCCGGCCAAGGAATCATCTAAGTTCGCATCCAATTTAGTCAGACCATCGTCGCAGGGGGTGGACGATAGCCTCATCGGAGACTGTGGGGCTCCGGATGCGTGTCATTCCCGTATACAGAGCGCTTATCAACCTCCATACAATCTGAGAAATTTATCCGCGAGCGAACGATTCGGCGTGAATATATAAAATGAACGATGACCAACAAGCGTGGGTTCGCATCGGGTGGCTCAGGTCAAAACCCACAGATAGGATTATTTTATTCATTTCAGGTGATCGCGACATTGATTTGGTTTCTACTTGAACCGCCGGCAACTCGAACCGAATATCCGGAAGGACGCCGAAACCAAGTCATTTTGAAGTGCAAGATACGCGACTCATCGTTCCTGGTCTCTCTTGTGTACAATATGTTTCTGATTACGACTTGTACGGTATACGCCATAAAGACGCGCAAAATTCCCGAGAACTTCAACGAATCCAAGTTTATCGGGTTCACCATGTACACAACCTGTATCATATGGCTAGCATTCGTTCCACTTTATTTCGGCACCGGGAACAACTTCCAGGTGAGTAGGAGGAGCTTCAAGCGAAATTCAGAGCACGTTCTCCAACAGCCCCAGGATGCTTCCCGATCGATGCGACGGCTTAGTTCCTCAACCGGTTGAAAAAAGACTCAGGAAGCGGGAGGATCCGATGGAAAGCCAAGCGCTCACCGTCGAGAACGGAAACTCTATTGTCTACTTAGGTATCTGCACTTGGTCGATCTGACTCACTGGATGTGTATCCGCTCATCCATCCATTCGCATATGCGAACGAGAAGCAGGACGCGATGTGCCATGAAATCACAAAGCTCATACACCTTTGTCTCCCCGGTGTCCATTTCTCCGTTCCTGCTCTCGCCGCTGCCGTCGAGGTAATCCCCCGAAGACACAGGCTAGGAGAACTTGCGGGGTATTTTCCAGACCATCACACATCCTGCTTGCTCAGGCGGGTCCCTGTGATTTTCTCCGCCTGCCTGCCTTTCTCCCTGCCTGCCTGCCAGCCAGCCATCCGAGCCAGCCAGCAAGCAGGCGAGCAGTCAGCCACGCAGTTGGAGCCTTCGTGGCGAGGAAGTTTCTTGGAGTTCCCGGATTTCTCCTTTCTCGCAAGCGGCTAAGGGAGAAGCAACGGCAGACGTGACAGGCCAACTTCCATCTCGGTTCCGCGTAGCGTTCGCTCTTCACAGGTTGTCGCTGAGAGTCTCCTCGACGGTTGGCGGAGATTTACGACACTTGAATGGACGGCTTCTTGGCGCCTTCATTGTCGTGAGGATCTTGTTCAGTGTTTTTCACTTACGAGCGTTCTTCCTCTTCAAGTTGAGAAGCGCTCACATTGCTCGGTTTCTGTGGCCTCACGTCGTCTGGCCCGAATGGCTCTGGAGTCGATATCGAAAAACCGAGGCGGATGGGTCCTTTCACTTTCTCGGCCCGACGAGAGAAAGAAGAGAAGGTCCTGATGGAGGTTGATCGTCGAAAAATGTCTCCGTCGAGAAAAAGTCGTGCTGCCATAGTAAATCTGTCGGTGGCTTCCTCTTCCAATAAACATGGACGCTCTCCCGTTTAAAGTCGGATGGTTTCCCCGCGAAGGGAGACGTTCGGTACCCCCAGGAAGACATCGTCGACGACAGAGATTACAGTGCGACGAATTCATCGGCGCGCCGGCGAAAGTCTTTTTAACTCCAGGCATTCGATCAAATGTAATCATCTACCTGTCGTGTGTACTGCTAGTACTCCGCAGATCCGCAAGTTGTCAGTACAGGAGAATTGATAGGTTCATCGGAGGCGCCACGTTGAGGCGCTAGGGCTCGGAATCAACCGAGTCAGAAAGCTCGATCACATTCGACGCAGAGACTGAGGATGCCTGGTTCGTTAGCTCGTTCGTCCGCACGTTCGTCCATTCGTTCGAGTCGCTTCTCTTCCCCGGTCTGCCCTTTGCTCCGTCGGAAACACGCAAGGAGAATAAGATGGCCTGCTGTATAATTCGCCAGGTCGTCGGCCAGAGTTTGCGCTTCCCGTTCGGTTGATGTCCACCGAGGAGCCGGCTTATCAGCTCGGGGGATATTCACTCCGATTCTGACTTATTCTTATCTATCGCCCGCTGTCTCACAGGCGAACCCGATGAGGCTTCCGACCTCTCTGAAATAACTGAAATTACCTCCCTAGACGTTGAGGGTCGCCAAATCATTCGATAAACGACGTGACTCATGCATATCCACTAGCATGCTCGAGCTCGAGTCAATGAAATGAAGGAATATTTCTTCTCTCCCCTCAAGGTGCAAATCACGACTCTCAGCGTGGCTATCTCGCTGTCGGCGTACGTCGCCCTCTTCTGTCTGTTCTCGCCGAAAATATACATCATACTCTTCCATCCAGACAAAAATGTCCGAAAACTTACCATGAACAGCGCAACGTACAAGAAAGCTCCAACGTCGTCCACGACGGGACACGCTCCCCAGAACAACCAGCCGCCCACGACATGTACGACCGGTAAGACCCTATTCCTCGATTGATTCTATAGTGCTTCAACCTGATGATTAGTGAGATTAGGCAGTTCTCTAAAATATTCCGCATTGCGTCTGACTTATTCGAATCGTTCTGTGTACCGTGCTCGTTTTCGGAGCTACCCCAAACTTAAGACGCTTCCGCCTGCGCATCGACAATGCTCCGAATGAATTAGTGGCCAATATAAGATGCCTTCTCAGAGAAATTATCCGAGATGGCCGCGCTGATTTCAAAAGAAATGCACCGTAATGAACTCATCGAATGACATTCGGCCAAGGAGAAATTGGCAGCTACAACCACTTTCTCAACGGAAGAAGTTCCCTCAGATTGTTCAGACCCGGTCGAATTAGTCGAGATCTCCTCGAACCCCGATTCCTTTGAAGATTGTAAGTTCCGTGCCGCCATCTAAGCACCAAAGCACTTCAGAACCCTATAGGGCACGCTTGGAAACTCTCTTCTCTAGTACAAACAGCTCTCCTCCGAACAACCCGTCGGATCTTCTCTCACCTCTGTCTCGACTAGATTGGATCATATACATACCACTCCAGTCGAGAGGATCGGGCTCATCATCTGGTCAAAAATGGAAAACGATTTCGCATGCGTGCCTTTGCGAAGCCGCAATGCAACATTTGACGGTTTAGCGTTCTCGCTGAGATCATCTGGTCTGCTATCTATCGAAACCTTCGCAAACCTCTATCAGTGATTCTCATCGTCCATCACCGACCGGGAGGGATTTTTCCCGCAATACGGGCTCATAGAAGCGGATGACGATTTGCGGAGAGCTCGCATCTAACGAAGTTTTTCGGATTTTGATTATCAGCTCGATCGAAAACCTCATTTGGGTTCTTGATCCTGCGGGTCCCTTGGATATCCGATCTGCATAGGAATTCCATCGGCGGCGTCCCACATGTAGATGACGTCACACCTGCGGCGGATACGGGGCTTTTCCGGAGGGGGTAGAGGAATTGGAATTATGTAGAGTTTCTTGTATGCGCCATGCAACGCCTTCACTTGCCCCACCCACGCGAATGAGATGTTTAACAAATCGACGTGAAAATCAGCTGACCGGTGTTGATGAGGCGGAGAATCACTGAGAGGAGCATCTTCTTCCCCGGAGAATAATTTCCCCGTTTTCCCTGATGATTCTCCCGGGTGCTGTCCAGTGCGCTGACTCTCCCCATTGCTCAATACCACGCCAATCTTTACAGGGACGGCTGCGGAATCCTGCGCAGAGACAGTGAAGCTCGTCGCTGTTCAAACGATTAGCTCGCACACGGCAGGAGAATGCGGCGCAGCGAGTGGTCTCGCGACGATACCATCACCTCCCGCCACTCAGCCGCCCACGAACGTGATGGTCGACATGACGCGCGGAAACAGCACCGAGAGTGTGAAAAGTCCGCCGGCGACTTCCAGCCCTCCAGAAGCTTCAGCCAGCACGATTAAGGCCGTCGATGACCGCGGAGGAGGGGACTGCGAATCGCTGCAGAGTCTTTAGCATTTACTTGTAGTTTACAAGGAGTTGGAAGTGTCTATCTAAACCACGGGGGCGATTTGATCGCCGAGTGCAAGAGGGTCTTTAACGTTCGAGAGCCTGGATCAGCCTCCCCAGTAAGTGTCGAATCGCGAGCGTGAACCGCTATCGAGAAACCGCCATCCTTCCATCGTTGCCATCCTCCACAGAAAACGGATGAAAACCATATGACTAACTTTCTCGTACTCGTGACTAGACTCTGAGCATAGTGATCGAATCGCCCCATCTGATAGACCTTGAAACGTGATTTACCCACTCCTGTAGACAGAAACTGAGACAAAACCTCCCAAGGAAGTCGCTTAGGTTCAACAACAAAGAACTAATACTTAGAAGCTGAACAGCTGATCAGTTCAGGCCAAACGAGGCCCGAGACCACAGCCGAGCCCAAATCATGTCTTCCGATTCATATCCTCTACTACTACTACTATACCGTAGATGTTCTACCCCAGCATACCGAAAGGAAATAGGCAAACACGATAAGAGAAGTAAATTTGTTGACGGACAGATATTGACCGTTTCCGGAGACAAAGCGAACCTGCCGCCCTTAAAAGGGAAGCCGTCAGTGCATAAGTGTTAGCAAACAGCCGGAACGAGAGCGGAAGAATGTGAATGCGATCCCACAGAGGACGCGGCGATGATTAACCTACATTCTCGACAACACACACGCGCACATACACACATTTTCACACGCCCATCGGTGATGCGAACATACCAAGGAACACGATATACTTAAATACTCGGTCTCTGATCGACGCGGGGAGGCGATTTTCAACGTGTAAGATGTATTTGTACATTCGCCGAGCGTCAGAACTAGAACCTCTATTGTTTTCCCATGCGGTAAAGACCCAGATATATCCACCAGAGACATCATCTGATTACCGTTGTTCGGGAGCAACGACTATGCCGGTTCCTCTAGCGTAGTAGCACCAGGAAACAACCCCGATCTGTCTTCGCCAGGGTCCGAAACCCACTTGTACAGAGTTCAGTGTCCCCTAATGTGAATGAAAGAAGGGAAGGAGCTGTTTATGTGGACGGTAGATGGTTATGACAGAGATGATTATTATAATCGAAGCTCTGGCTATGAGAAGAAGACAGCAGGCATTGTAGGTAGACGAATGCTCCTCGCGCTGTTAGAGTCTCTGATTGGAAGCGTTCTTAGATATGAGTCTAATGTATGTTTGAATGTGTCAGCTTGCTTGCCTCGATTCGAGCGTCGACAAGGTGTTGAGACTAGACCGGAAGGGAAGGGAGACTCTGAGGAAAAGTCACCTGGTCGCTGAAATTCCTCGGGTAGTCGAAGTCAATGAACAAAAATCGATTAAACTTCCTCTCGTGGTCTGTCATCTGGTCGGCAAGCCATGATGCTGGGACGGAAACAATGATGATGATGATGAGGAACATGAACAGTTGTAGAAAAGGAGACTTAAAGATTTGAGTTTACCGTTTTCGTTTGGTTCCGGGCCTTTTCCGATCGAGAACCGTCTCGGTAAGGTCCCATCGTCGTCGCTTGCATATTGAAGCCAAACTGAGGTTTGATAATGCGACCTCTCGATTCAATGACGGAGCTTGACCGCTCGAATCGTGCCCGTCCCGAACGACTCGAAGAGAGCAGATACACGTGCCTCAAGGATTTGAGCGAAAACATACAGATTGTGCGAACTTCAGATTGGCTCTCACGTGCATAGTCGAGTGCTGAGTTACCGACGATGTCAGGCGCAACTTATCGTACCTCTAGTAGCCCGCGCAGGGTGCTCATCTCTATCGAGATGCCATGCCATCTCCTCAATGGCGAACTAGAACCGATCACATCGCTGATCACAACTGTTCAACATTGAACACTTAACTTAACACTGCACTTCCTCCGACCCAAAATTTTTCCGAGGCGACGCCGTCGATTCCGCGCAATTATATCCCTTGAAGCGATTTACCCGCTCTGTGTTCGGTGGCTCCCGCTTCGAGTACGCCGCGTGCCGAAGGCTTCCGGGAAGCAGCAGTCGAAATCTGTTGTTTTGTCCGGATACGCTGTTGGTTCGGCTGCGCTGTTGGATAAGAGAGGATTCGGTTCATCGGTGTTTCGTGGTTCTGTTGTTCGAACCTTTCGTGTCAAACGTCTGGACAGTTTAGGTATCGCGTCGCTTCGGAATTCCCATCTAGATGACGACAGTGCACAGCGTGAAAGAGAAGCAGTTTTCGATTCTGGTCAGAATGTTCCGACCTCAGATATTGAGATCATGAAACCTCGCGTCGGAGCTGTCGGCTAAGACAGAAACAAATAGTGAGAACTTGTAGAACATTGTAGTCTCATTATTGATTAATTATTGATTATTATAATCATGATTATCCCCATCGAGACTAGGGCAATGAGGATTATGACTGACCATCATCCTTGACTTTATCTAGTCGACTTGTACTATAGGGATATATCGCCACGGATACCACGAAGGCTGGTGACTCGTCATTGCGTTTTATGATGAAACTTGACACTCGCCACAGTCAATTTATCTAGGGAGGTCCCTTGGTACAGCTTCTTACACTATGAATGTTTGCCTAGACAGGGAAACCATACGGAGCTCGATGCTACGGCGAGAGCCGGTCAGGCGCTTCTCTCGAGATCTCTGTCTAAAGCGTACTATAGATATACGCTCATTGTCAGAGTCTGAAGTCGGAATGCGAACCCTCAGGTTGGAGATGGTCGAGCATTGTGTCATGGATTTCTTCTAGCGTCACGATGGGGACCGATTGTTTTGTAAATCTCCGTACTCGATTGGTATTCGATTTGAGTACTTTCGACGGGTCTCGGAGTTATCCTGCCGCGGGATGCATATATAGGTTGGCTGTTTCACCAAAAACGCCGAGTCTCACGGACGTGCCATTCCTTGTGACATGTACACTGTTATTGCTACATTACTAGATGGAAACTGATGCGTGAACCTTCAAGTACGATGCGACCCGAGAACGTCGGGTTGATTTCTGTTTTGCCGGCAACTATGTCCTCCATTACGTTTTATTCATCAGATAAGATCTAGCGTGATGAAGATTGCTGCTGAGATAGGTTTAGTGAGGTACAAATTGAGATCCGATGCGAGGGGATCCTAGAACTCAAGTGTCTGGAGCTCGTAGAGGAAAAATAGGATATAGTCGTCAGGAACTTCAAGGAGAACTGGGTACCATAAATCTAGATCGCTGCGAAGTACGCCTCGGTATTGTACGCCTTCTACAGAATACGTTGACGTCTAGCACTAGATTCATAATTGAAGCGTGAAGCTTCTGATCGAGAGGCGAGGTCGACTTGGCGGTTTTCGGACGCGCAGCAAGCTCCGAACCCCATCGACTAACAGCTGATCGCAGGCTCGAGTCGAGGTTCTCATCACCACGCAGGAGCACGTCGATTCGGGAATTCCCAGGGAGGAATGAAAGGAAGAAGGAGGAAGGAAGCAAGCGAAATACGGAATAAATGTTCTGAATAAGAGATCCTCGGGAACGCTGGTGTGTAGACAGACACGTCGCGATGATCAAACATCAGAAAACATATACGAGAAAAGTTCGGTGAATTACCAAACGTAGATTTAAGCAAATGTCAGGGTTGTTGTATAATAAAACTCTAAAACCGAAAGCCGTCCCTCCTCATTTGCATGTGGAAAACACCTACTCGCGGAACACCGAGTTCCTTTGAGAACAAGAACTGCAAACCTCATTGTTCGGCTGCATCGAGCATACATATGCCACCCTTGCTCGGCTCGGATTGCACAATTGGATTCCATCATGCTTCCTCTAGTTCACGACATCGCGCGGCCGGTGAAAAGCGTTCTGGGACATTTATCCTTACGGGAGTCTATCCTCCTGAGTGAGCTCATGACAGAGGGAGTCGATTTTCTCGGCATGGGGAACCCGCCAAGGGCATGGAGCCCATCCTCCCGAAGCGTGGTGCTGGCCTCATCCAGTGTTCAATTCTTAGGGAATGAATCTTGATTGTCCAACCGGCCGCGGAATTTCATTCGCAGCTACCGGGTCGGATCAAACGACCAAATTTCACAGGCGCGATTCATGTATTTTACGAGCAAATATTTTACAGCAGATGGACCGCTCGGGCAAACGCTGTGATTCAAATTTATTGATCGAATCAACGAAGATGTCTCCGTTCGAACGATTGGTCAAAAAAGATTCATCGAATCACGTTAGACACTTCCCGGAACCGAAATCCGGACGGATGCAGCACCGCCTGAATCCGATGCGACAGGTCGCAATGGAACCCCTGCGCACAGACAGGAAAACGCATGGATTCCGACGATGTTGGACGATGCCAACGATTCTCTTCCAGGAGCCATTCTGTTGGCCTTACATACGGGAATCGTTGGGCGCGGACTACCTCGGGAATCACTTCGTGCGCCACGACAAAAGAAGCCAGCTCTGTGGCAGACGAAGGGGAGCGACGCCGCGCGAGCTCTTCACGCTCGCCCCAGGCAAGGCCAGCGGCCGACCGGGCCTGCTCGTACGACCGTAACTCGGCCCATATTGCCATCAGACGCATGAACGATGTAGTAAATTAAACGGAAAATAATTATTCCGGCAATCTATTTGGGGAATCGTGAGCGCCGTCTCCGTTGTTGACGCTCCGAACCATTCGCGATCATATGTCGTGAAAATCGAGCTGCCAAGATGTTTGCGGCTGCTGTATGGTATGGCGTCCGAGACATGAGATGACGAGCGACGATCGGGACAACTGAGAATACGCTGGATATTCGCTCGTCTCGGATCTCACCTCGAGGTCGTCCATTTCATTCTCCGTTCCACTCAGAATAGCCCAAGTTTCCGTCCCGAGAGCACACGCGGAAGAGCACATGTTTCACCCCCATATAACAGCGAGGGAGACTCTTCTCTAGCCGACGGAGTCATGGCATATATCATAAACCGATCCACCGAAGATTCCGATTCGATTGATCAAGCTTTCTGAAAACTCTTTTCGC